GGGGAGGGGGGGGGGGGGGGGAGGGGAGGGAGGAGCAGACATTCATGGCACCCCATGCGGAGAAAGTGGCCCGGTCGTAGAGACGTTAATTCCATCCGTCCAAAATAACCACACTTTAATGCTCCGGCGAAAAGGTACTACCAGAATACACTGCGTGGGGTCTGCGATTTTGGTAGGCAAAAAAGGCATCAAGTTTTCAATCTGCCAATGAGTCATAGCACATCTGGAGTCTTCACATCTGTGACTTAACGTAGGCAATCAAACAATGGCAATAATACAATTGTGGGTAGTTTGCATAAACTTTTCCGACCGCCAATCAAGTGAACTAATATACCGCTGATTATTTGAGTTTCTTTCATTTAATTGAAGAAGTAGTCATTCAAAACTAAAATAAAAACAGTTTTTTTAAAGTACCTTTTCTTAATCAAAACAGCAATTTGTACAAGATTATGTCAAATCAAAATAAATTAATCAAATAAAGAATTTTATTGCTGCAAATACCTGTACTTTCATTAATATTCATCACACTTTCAAATGATGAGTGAGTCTAAATGAAAATATTAAATGAAACATTATTATTATTATATCAAATGGCTGGCGTTTTAATTGTCATCATTAGCCCTTTATTTGACTTCAGGCTTCACAGAGGGGAAGGGACATCAAAGTGTAAAAAATTCAAGAGAGGAGGGGGGGGGGCGAACAGAAGAGTGTTTCAAAGACGAAGGTAGATAAGGTGGAAATAAGGTGGGATGAGTAATGTGAAAGTAGTCGAATATGACAAACAGTGGGGTCATGGTAGTTTGAAGTCAACTGCCAGGTAAAAGACTTTTTTGCCGTATGAGCATACGTTGCCCAGGGTGCACCACGTGGAGGTAAGTCTATCGCACACCCCCAAAAACCATCTCCTTTGTCAAGAGTGGGACGAGATAAAGTGAGGACGCCATAACTCCTCCTTGAACAACATAAATCTTCCAAATTTTTCAAAGATTTGCAGGTACGTAAGTAGAAGATAGACGTATTCATTCGGAATCCAATCTTGAGTTGTATAAATATAGACCAAGTTTCCACACATCCAAAATTATCCACGGGGTGTAGTGCATGGACGCGTGACTTGTGGACAGAACTGAATTTGCAGAGAAGGTAAAGCAAATCAAGCAAACACCTCAACCATATAATGGCGCACTTCATCACTGGCATCGGATACTTATTAAAAAGCTCAATGCTAATTAGTAATACATTTAGAGTTGAATTATGGTGTTATTTGATGAAAGCGGCAAGAAATCAAAGAAAAGAAACAGAGGGCGTAAGATCGGGAGTCATAGCAAAGTTAGTTGCTGACAGTATCTTCTATAATTGGTTTAGCATTTTTCGTCAATAGATATGAATGTATCACAAGGCATTTGAGTAACCTCGGGGTTACTTCAGCTGTTAAAACCGCCAAACAGTGGTGTATTCATACGATCCCATATGTCTAGAGTAGGAATTTCATCACTGGAAACGTTAAGATCAAGTTTTTTATTAAAATTAATTCAAAAACGTTGATTAACATTTCGATAATTACTACGATTAACATTCTTATTTAAAGGAATTGTCTCCAAGACGTTGTAATTTAAGGGGTAATTCATATGAGTCCCATCCGACTTGCAAATTTTACGAAAACAACTAGAAATAGCATTGTCTATAGTAATTACTGATGAAGTATTATGGCAGAATAAAGTAGACTAAAAATATCTCTTTTTTCCTTAAAACTTTCTAAATTCTACCCTATTCTGCAACTCCCATTTATGTATAAAAATGCCCAGTATTTAGCTACAGAGACGGAAAAGATAAAAACGTGGGAAGACGGGCCCTAAATCAAATTGATTATGGCTTTCGGATAATTCCAAGAAAGTACGCAACAATAAGTCAAATATAAATTTACATTTTTTGCAATAATATGATATTTCATTTCTGATACTCTCCTTTGGCCTGACATTTGATAAAAACGGGACTGTCAGAGAGACACCATGGATTCCCATCGCATAGATTCCTTATTTAGTGCGCATCAAGAATAAAATCCTATGGCAGGTAGCATAAATTACGATTTTCACCTAATGGGAATCCCACAACAATAAATATCATTAGTAGTTATCAATACATGGGAAATCATTATCCTCGCACAAAAAGTAATTAAACGATACTGAACGTGCTAATAGAGAGAGACTTGAAACACACTCAACCGTGAAGCTCAATTTCAAATTCGGTTACTGACCTAATATTGTAATAATTCCCATAATCACAGAAATGGCTAATTTTTTTATCTTAATGAGAAATTTTTAATGAGTGTTGCAGAAAGTAACCAATTAGAAATGATATCTTATTGCTAAGGAAATCAATAAATTTCCTTACTAATTTTCATATTTTAATGTGCATGAACATTGCGGTGGGAAATATTTCAAATGTATCTAGTGAATCCAGGTAAGAAATCTTCACTTCGATTTCATTAAATCTTTGTTAGTGTAAGGTGAATTGATTGTCAAAAATGTTGACAATCTTTTAGCCAATAGGATTCAATATCGGGTAGATAAATATTTCCAGAATAAATGAAGGAATCATGCCACCTGAATGTCGAGTTTGAGAACAACCCCATAATTCTGGAATTCTAATCATAATACTTCTAATTAAGGTCCTTTATACGCCCTTAATACTTGTATTGATGTGTTCTGGTAGTAGAAATTGCGGCCACTTTCCTTTGCTGTGAAGTATGCCAGCATTAGTAATATTAATATTAGGCAATTCACTATGGAGATATTATTATTGAAATATGTCTGAATTACCTCCTATCGTCTGATTTGTCTCGAAATCATCCGCCTGTCTACTTAATTAAATTTGACCATAATAAACAATGGCCTTTTATTAAGTCTCTAGGGTCGTTTAGCAAAAAAAATATTTATTATTCCGTACATAATAATGCGGGATATTTTATTACCAATTTAATTTGAGGAGTGAGCTCTAATTTGATGATTAGACACTTGTTAGACACTTGGCTGTAAGTAGATGATAATGAATTAGAGGGTTTAGACAGAAACTCAATTCAGCTTACCGATTAATGGGCACAAACTTGCAGAGCAACATATAGATCAATTTCGTGCAATTTTGGCAACTCTTTAAATAAAACTTTAGTTATTAGCAAGTGGAAAAAGAAATTAATTGCATATCGAGTGGTTATTGCCTTGTTATCGATCACTACTAGGTCGTCTTAGTATATAACTCGAGGTGTGCGATAGATTTACCTCCACGTGATGCATCCTGGACAAAGTATACTCATAGGGCAAAAAAGTTTGCAACCGGGAGTTGACGCATGATTTAAAATTACTATGACTCCACTGTATGTCATATTTAACCACTTCCATAGCATTCATCTTACTTTTCTCTACCTTTGTGACTGCCTCCCTTTGCAACTGTGAAGCAATCTTCTGTCCTCCCTCCCCCCGACATTTTGTGACCTTGTCTGNNCCCCCCCCCCCTCTGTTTAGCTCGAAGTCATCTAAAGAGCTAATGATAACTATCATAAAGCATGCCATCTGATATAAGTAAATAAATTATGTAACTCTGTTGTTCTTTATTTTGCTATGGACGATGGGTAGCAAGTTCTCTTATAAACCAAAACGACCAGCTAAAGAAGTGCTCGCAAATAATTCACCAATAGAGTCTCAGTTTCAAATAATGGAAGGTAAAATAGCTTTAAAAGATCTTTGTCAGGCCTCCGACTTTTGGCCTATTAAGATTGGTCCATAACTTAAAAAATAATAAGCATCTTTTTTTTGACAAATACGGGGTTCTTAGTAGCAATCCCATTCATCATCGGACCACCCCACATTCTGGTTGGTAGGGTCTTCCCTCTCTGCCAAACTGACTTACCTGAGTTTGGTGGATATTCTAAAGGCATAGCCCGTTGAATATCTGCATTATCACTTTCCAAAATCGTTTGCAGCATTACGCCACCTCACTAAAATTGCTCTGCTTCTGATGACTCGAATTCTTATCAAGGTGCAAATAGTAACTACGAGGTAGGTAAAACGCGGGAGAACAATTCAAAAATAAACCTTTTTTAATTTTATAGGGGCTAATTGTAATTCCAAGTTGTTCCAAAAGGTCCTTCTAGGGTAGAGTGAATTAATGATACCATTTTGTGTATACCCCCAAGAGAGTGTTATCCACCGTTATACCAGGTGGTCTTTTAGTTAATCATCTCTGCGCTAGTTATACATTTCGAGGCAGAAAGGAAGAGAAGAAACGTGGAATGGATGAATTG